TTTATAATCATATTAACAATAAGTTTATTATAATAAAATTTCTACGGTTAATAAAATTAAATATACTATTATGTGAATGAAATTAGATTTTATGCTAGTAATTATGATTTGTGCACGATAAACTGAAACTCTAAATATGGTAACTTAAATGTGTTAATCAATAGTCCAATAATAGAAATAATCACGTGAACAATACTTTGGTTTGTCAAGAGTTGATTCTAAGATCTTGCAATCTATCCTATGTAAATACGGGTTGATTCTATAAATTATATTCCACAAGCCGTTCCGTCACGTTTAATAAGCTTGTAAACTACACAAGAACCACCAACACGCAAATATTTTCTCCAAGTTCTATAGTCCTATAAGTCAGTATAAGAGGGAAGCATTGGATCGTCCTTCTGATTCAAAAAACATGTGATATGCAAGTGTCAAAGAAGAATCAAAGGGAAAAATGGGGAAACTGGGAAGGTCCGTTTATGGTCTTTTTTATTTGCAATCAATTGATTATTAAAAGTTGCGAAAATTCGACGGTGAGATTATAATTCGAGCTCAAGAGCTCAAGGTGCGAAATGAAATGAAGGCTGAAAATAGTGCATTCGAAATAAAGATCTTTAGTAGCTTTGATGTAAGTTTTTTATTCAGTAAATTCTCCTGGCTGCATTAAAAAATTTAACTGTGGATTTATTCGTTTTAAATCATTGACTGATATAAAGCACTACACGAAAAGGTAGGCTACGAGGTGAGAGTAAAGGATTGTTTATGATTCTAATCGGTCTATCGGTCATACATTTACACCTGTAATTATTTATAGAAACGGAAGGCGCGCTTGGAACCAAAGAATGACACCATTCTACAGAAACTTATTAGGACAAACATTTATCAAAAACTGCAGAAGTCGTTTGTTCTCAAGTGATTGTATCGGAATCCAGAATTACAGATTTACTAGTAAATAAGTGAAAGCTGACAAAGAACCTGGATTAAATGTCACTATAAAGAAGTATTTAATGTCGCGGTTATTAGGAAGGATGGTTAACCCTACGATTCGTTTTTAAAATTCTCTAATAATAATAATAATAATAATAATAATAATAATTACGCGAATCCTGAAATTTTATGAATAAAAAATTAATGTAATATAATTTATTAATTATTTGGTCAATTACAATTTAAAATGGAATTTACGTTATTGCAATAAGAATGCACAAATTAAATATTTTGTCTAAACGGAGCTCTCTTTGACAAAACGTGAGCGCGAGGATACAAGCAAACCTCTTTCTTGAAAATTTTTCAATCATGCAAAAACATGCACAAGTTTGTAATCGTCATATTAGTATATATCTTTTCTAAAATTATTATTGTTTATTTTAAATTTACAGATTAGAAAATATATTCTTTTGATGAATGATTATCTTTTATTCTCATTAATAATGATTCGACGAAGGAAAATTTAAAAAGATTATTTTATATCATTTAAATAGGGGTTATACAGTATATGCGGCAATCGCGAATTTGCCATGCAAAATACAAATTAAGCGTGAAAATATTTGATTAATATGATTTATATAAAATAAAATAAATCTATTGTATTCTGTTTTTAATTTAAGAGCAAAATAGTATGTGATTTTTAATTAATTCATTTCTAAAGAAAATTTATAAAAAAGCAAATGCGGGTTAATTGAACATTACCTTTCGTTCATCACAGATGTTAATGTTTATCTTTAGGAATTTTCATTTTTTATAGATATTAAACATCAATCTTTTAAATCTATATAATTCTACCAGATATAAAATACTTCAATTGCTGTTTAATTAACAAGAAGCAATAAGTTACATATTTTATCAAGTTGATACATAACCGATGTATTATGCATCTTTATTTAATTTATTATGTGTATAAATCTAGTATTTACATGATGCCAGTAAATGTAAATATCAAATAATTTTAATTGAATATTTATTTAAATCATAATTAGAATCTCAGCTTTCATTGTTATTGCCTAGACCAATTTTAGTTCAAAAAATTTAGTTGAAAAAATCCCCCCCAAAAAACAAACAAATCTTTTCAAATCCACCGGATTAAAACCATTGTATAATACTACATTGATGTAGTGTGTTTTAAAATTAATGATTCACGCGATAATGACGTGCGTCTGCTCGGTTACTAACACATTTCGTGCTATAAAAATCCCACAGTCTCGGATAATCATTATGCAAGCAATTGCGTCATTCTTGAAAAAGCAACCTCGACATAGAACAAATGTAGTAATTGTTTTCTCATTCGGATAAACAGATTATTGGTCGAAAATGTAGCTAGCAGACAAATTACCAAACCAACCTTAAGGACTTATTGTGAGCGCAATTGTTGTTTTCTTGATAACCAACAACTGGTCATAGCCTGATTATCAAGATGTTTGCCCAAAATAACGGCAAAATCATTAATATTGAAAATCATTAATTAATTATTGGCGTGCATGTATGCAACATTCTTTAAATAACCCGGATTGCCATGTATGGACTTCCTAAAGCAGCGATGAGTTCGCTATTGATCTCGGGCACATGAACGTGAAGTGAAAAAATTTTTAATGGTAGGTAGGAAAAAAGCCCCACAACTTTCTTAGGCGACTGCAACTCGCCATTTATGGAAAGAAAAAACAAATGTGATAAGGTGCTTATAATGAGGGGTGATGTTTGCACAGCAAGTGATATACTAAGAAGGTGATGAACGCATTATTCACAGAATGTGATGATGGCATTGCTCAAAAGGTGATGTGCTTTGTTCTGAAAGTGATGTGATGAAAAATCACGGTGCTCCCGCAAGTAAAGGAACAACATAGTGGTCAGTATAGTGTTTTAAATGCAAAGGAGTAGAACAGTGCCTCTTCCTTCGAGAATGAGAGCAAATAATAAAGCATCAAAAAAGCTATCCCTATTACTTTTATTAGTATTATTGAATCAAGAATCCTCATTTCCGAAATCTCCCTGCCCACCTCCACCCCATTCCATTTCACCCCTCTAATCAGTTTCCATCATGGACTTTAACCACCTTAAACACCTCGTACTCCTCCACATCAAAACTCCCTTCTTCGTGTAATGGTTGAGTGTAATATTTTTTACGATAGTACTTTATCTTGTTATTGCTGCATAATCTCAGGCAGAGGAAATTCGGACCACCAAACTGGTATTGCCGAATGGTGTCGTAGTTCTCCTTTGCGCGATGGAGTTTATAGTTTTTAATGCTTTGCCTGGGGTTCATGGCATGGTAGTAGAGGTTGGTGGTGGTAGTGGTATGGTGAAAATTCGAGGAATCGTGGGGATCAGCATTGTTAATGGAAAAGGAAGTGGAGGTGGGATAGTTGAAACCTGAGATGTCAGAATTTAAACTCTTAAAATCCTGACTTGATGATTCAACTTTCTTGTCAATATGATCATCGATCTTGCTATCACTACTATTACTGTTACCATCTCCATTATAATCGTTATTTTCGTCCGTGCGATGATAATTGTGAACACTTTTGTTAATAACAGTGCAGAAATCAAGACTAAACAAGAACCCATCAATTGAACTTTCGTAAATCCGCGGATTAGATGACTTCCAATGTAATGGATTGTACCCACCCAGTATCTTCCCCGACCCGCTCAACTTGAACACACACAAGGTTGGCCCCTGATTGTCACAAAGCTCATGAAAAATTGCTGGACTAAATCCATCTCTGGTGCCCCTCAATAATAACCTGAATTCATAGGAACATTTCATGGTTGAGATTGGACGCGCGAAGAAAGGGAGTTGGCGTGAGTTAAACGAATAGTCAAAATCACTTGAAAATACGGCAGACATCGGGCGTTCTCGTTCCGATATGCCGCCAATTTTCGTGGTGCTAGCATAAACCGCTGACATTGGTCTCTTCCTTCTGTTAACAACACGTGATTTGCGGTTACTCCCACAATCCACTTCACTAAAATTATCTGTTTCAACATCCACACATTCATTAATCCCCCACAATCTTGTTTGATTAGCCGGTGTCTCATCTCCCTTCCCATTCCTCTTGCCACTCCTTAAAATAGTCTCCGAGAATCTCCTCATCATCCGTGTGGAAAAACTATCCTTGCTTATCCAACCAGCGATTAATTTCGCTTGCTCATCATTTAATATTATCGAATCAATAGTCTGCGGTATAGCGTTATAAATCATTTCGGATTTAAATTTCCATACGGATTGTGACTTTGACAAATGTTTGAGGTGAACGCGTTGATAAGTATCTGCGTCAAGAGCGAATGCGTATGGTTGAACTTTCTGGTAAAACTCTTTAACACCAATATCATCAAATTTTATCAGGGAAGTACACTTCGCCAACGTGGATTTGAGTTTCTCAAAATCTTGTATCTTCCAACTCATCGGGTTTTCGGGTAATTCGGGATGTTGAGCGACTCCCCATCGGAGTACGTAATCCCACATTTTCTCTTCGCTCAGTGATGACCTTAAGTCTTTTCGCTGTAAGATTGAAATTAATTCGGACTCGTCAAAATGAAAGAATTCAGGTGAATCGAAGAGAAGTTTTGGATTTTTGACGACTATGTCGGAAAAGTGGTGAAGAAGTTTTGTAAGCGAGGAGTGATGGAAACAGGTTCGATAAATTATTACCAGATTCTTGCGAATCCATTTTAAATGCTTAATGATAATGTGAGACTGTAATGAATCGAATAGATCTTGAATACACAATTCATCGCAGGCAACCAGAAGTTTTAGGACCTGCTCGACGGCAAGATTTGTGATATCCAGTATTCCACTGTAGATGTATCTATTTTGGTGATAATTTGAAAAACGTTAGGTTACAAAAATTTAAAAAGGATCGTTTTTCCATTGATTTTGCAATTTTCATTCCACTCTACTTCACGCTTACTATTGCATTATGTACTCTCTTTCGTTAAGAACATACCTCAAAATCACTTCAAATATGGTGGGCTCAATGTTAGGCTTCTCGAACACCATCCTTCCGTCTTCATCCTCCTTCGCCCAACTATTTCCAAATGCTGCATTGAAGTATTTCGAACGCACTTTCAATATCAACGAGTGAGCATGAAATATTCTACTATCCGGTTCTTGGCCAACCTTAATTACCACATTATAATCATCACACGACCTATTCCGATTATATATTCTTTGAGAAATTTTTTTAAATGTGTTGTTGTCGGAGAAGTTCGGATTGCTATGGGATTGTTTAATCATTGTATGATGATAATTATAATTATTGTTAGTATTGTCATTACTTCGGGAAAGAACGAACGATTGTCTTTTATTGAGTTTATTTGTGGATTTGTTAACATTGGACGTGATGCTACTAATAAAGACATCGTCATTACTTTTGTTATTGTTAATGTCTAATAGTTTTGAAAGATCTTGGGAAAGGATTGTTAAATATTTATGTCGCGTTGCCATTTCTTATCTCAGTATTATTTATTACCAACGGATCAAACGAATGTGTGTATCGCGCTACAATTGATGTAGAAAGATGATATGATTTCGTATTACATACCATAATTGGTTATATTTGATATAAACTGATGTGTCCGGTTATCCGGCGCCGAAATGCCGAATGTTGGGTCACACACAAATGTGCAATAAAGCCATATCGGATCACCCGATTTTTCACGTGTAAAAAAAATTTTTTTTTTATATAGTGATTTAATTTTTTTTTTTTTTTTTTTTTTTTTTAACACACAATGTTGCCCATTTTATTGATTATATGCGTTACACAATCTTCATTTACAAAGCAATTTTATAAACTATAA